GTACGAAAACACTGTATTTTTAGTGTTATTGATTTACTTATTCAGCAGAAATAAAAAATGTAGTAATCACAAGTATATTATACAATTATATCACATGAATATTAAAGACAAATGTTTAGTTCATTATTTTTAATATTTTGTGATTAAACAGTTTATTTGCCAGTAATACCTAATTGTAATCGCGCTTTGTATATTTGTCCCAAATATACATTATCAGAAACCCGTTTTCATTAACCGCTAATAGATTTGATTCTTGTCCCATATTTAACTAAATTTTTTATTAAGGAGCCATAAATATATATATTTACCAGGAATAAACATTTTTCTCTGTGTATGAATCTAAACAGTATTATACCTTTTCAGTATGAAACGACACTGACAGTGATGTCATTTGACCACGTGTTGCTATATGTTTTAATTATTTCGGCAGCTTATATTGTGACATGCACGCTAAGATCCATTGATATAACTTTAAGTATCTTTAATTACCGTTAGTTATTTCATACCACACTACGGTAACATCAGTGCAATTAATACCAAAATTCCAGCTTTAGTGATAATTGATAATAACCTCGATATTATAATAATTTAATGGAGTAACATAGGTTTTACAATATCTGTACTTACCCTAATGATTTCAGTTTGGCTGACCACGTTATGCAGTGAAAGAAAGAATAAACTGTCATAATTTTTGTTGGTGACTTCTTTGCTTTCTTCTCGGACAAACTGATTTGCAAGTTATTCTTTTTTCAAGGGATTGGAGACGATAAAATGAACACCTGAGCTGCAACGCTCGGAACACGTAAATTTGAATAACTGTCTCTAGCTCAACTTTACACAGAAAAATAAAGTGATTCATGGTGTGATTTAGAAAAATCGAAGAATTTTTTTTTGTTCAGTTAAGCGAGACGTTGACTACATAAATAAATTTAATATTTATTCTCATAATTTGATATAAATTTGGCGTGTTAGGGGCCACTTCATATTTTTCTTTGAGGCATATACCCTATATTTTATTGATATAGGAAACGGGTAATTATCCTCTATCACGCCAAGGTCGAATAGAGTTGGAACTCAAGAAAAGTATGAACTAGGACTTGAGAAATATTTCAGATAATTGCAGATAAAATAATCACACATCCATTGCCTTGCTTTCTATACTTTCAGAATTAATGCAGTGCACCATTAAAATGAAAAAATAGAAGCGTTTTTGTATCCCGAGGAGGTAGGCGACTTCTTTATGTTTATATTAGAGTTACGTATACCCAAAGGTTAATACCAAATATAAGTATTAAATGCAGAAAACAGTTTTGAAATGCAAGAGTTTTAAAAAAAATTTGACAATAGAAAATATTAAGTTAGAAGCACACGATTTATATTTCTCAAAAATACATTGTGGTGGAAAATTTAGATTAGATAACAGAGAATTTACAAGATATTGGTAAAGGTAGCTAATACAAGAAACTTTTTAAAAAGTAACAATATAAATATTAGCAGGTTTCCGGCATGGTCACAGTACAAGTGTGAGGCAATGTTTAATTACATAAAAGCCTTCGACACTATACAAGGAATCTGTAAGTACATCGAAAAAAATTCTGGAAATGATTCCTGAACCTATTCTGAAACGAAAAGCTAAAATGAAATTTTGTCTTTAACTGCTTCGTTTTGGAGATACAGGGTGTTATTTTCAAAAAAAAAAATCGTTAATATCTCGGAAATGCGTGAGAAGATTTTTTATAAAACTCAGTGTGCGTTCACAAGTACTTAAAGAGACTTATTTTGGCTCTAAAAGTTTTTCTTTAGAATTCAACAGGAACATCTAGGTGAGTTTCTTGGATGATGTTTTCCCCCAAAAATGTGATACGCCACTGAGTTTATGTAATTTTAATGTTTTTTCATGAATCACTATGTGAAACTGTATAGAAAAGGTCACTTAATTCTTTCTTGTGCGATGTGCCGTTTTGGATATAAATAGGTTATTGCGATGTATTAAAACACAGTGGAAACAGCATTAAGCGTTTAATTTTCATTGTAATTTAAGTCCAAAAAAGAATAAATAATCAAAACAAAATTGTCCTCAGAATTAAACCGTTTATTTGTACTTTTTAAAAATAATTAAAATGAGAAAATCTTTTTTTTTTGAAAAATCTACACTATCTCCGAAACAAAGAGTTAAGAACAGAACCTCATTTTAATTTTTCATCTCAAAATAGGTTCAAGAATCATTTCTAGAATTTTTTCTATTCACTTTAATGATCACCCTGTAAAACTAACGGTTTATCTTTTGTTTAAGTAAAATATTGTGTATTACATTGGCTAAAATTTTATATAATTATATCAGACTAATAACAATAACCCGCAACTCGGCAACATCCATGATATCTTTTCTAATAATAATTGCTATTTATTCTAGATAGATGTATCTCAGTGACCTATTTTAGGACTAATTTTTTATATCATATATAGATATGTGATTAAATTGCTCACACTATCTTGTCGATCAGTTTGTTCAGTTACAACTGATTATAACCGCTTAAAAAAAAACACTAACTAAAGTGGTTGTAATCAGAATAATCAGGTTAATCCGTTGAATAACTTCGAAAAAATATGCCTATATTGTGACTGGTCGTACATAAAATTTTTTATACACCTCGGACGCAATCAGCGTTTATGGCCCTTATCGTGTAAGAGCCCTCGCCTAACGCCTTGGGCTCTAATTTTGACGTCGTGGGCCATAAACGACTCTTCATGCCCTTGGTACGTAAATACCTATTATACCGACACCACTCAAGTTTTTTTAATAAATGATGTTGTCCCTGGAAATGTATAATGAATAGTTGGAAATTGTTTTGAATGGAGGAAATGTATCTCTCGGGGTAAATCACGTCGCGCTCGCCTTTAATACTTGAAATTATATTCAATTTTGTACCTTCATATTAAAATAGAAAATGAAAATATCATTACGTATTACAATTTTTATGTTTCATTTGTTTTTAAATTTTAAGGTTTACAAAGGTGGGGAAGATATTGCCTCAGTTGTTTCAAACAGTGGCGTAGCGAGAGTTGGCCCATGGGGAGGATATACAGATATAAAAATATCTGTTGGTGTGGCTCTGATTAAATATAGTTATTTTTTATTTGCGGTTTCTGCATATATAGATTATGTGCAAACAAAAATTAGTCTAATTTAAAGAATATGATTAATAAAAAAAAACAGTATTTTTAAAAGAGTAATCTTTATTCAACAAAGAAATAAATAAATAAAACAAAATCTAGGCGTGCGTCGTGGTTTTAGATTAGTCAATTCTGTGAATTTTGATTGCATTTTAGTAAAGCTTGATTATATTCACTACTTCAGAACTCAGTAATTAAAACCAAAAATATTTGCGAAAAATATCGATATCAAATAAAATTACACCGTTACATAATGCATAGCCGCTGCGGCTAAGTGGCGCAGCTATTACTTGTCTAGGCATACCCCTACTTTGAGCCCGTAAATTTCTGAAAACCGATCAGCCGATCCAGGCAACTATGTCAACGGCACGTAACAGTGAATATAATAAATAATCGTATACTTTTGAAAGCTATTAATTTTTTATGTAGAAGACAGCTTACTTTATAAAAATTAAAAGAAAGAAAATCAAATGAATACTTAGAAAAATATCTGATGTGCCCAGCACATAACTTTCTTATACCAGTATATGTCATTCTGATCTAAAAAAAATCATTCTATTTAATTCTTCACTTACCTCAATTAAATTTTAATAGCGTACCTTGAAATAATTAAAATTGAAATTGAAATTATTAATTAAAATTTTTAAATAATTAATTATCAGCGTCATTCGATACTGTCATATATTTTAATAATTTTTTGTTGCTGACATTGACATTTTTGTAGTTTTATTAGTCTGGATAACATTAGTAAAAAAAACCTCAAATTCTCATTTAGTCGACGTTTCGACAAAATTTATTGTCTTCCTCAGGACTACAACATATAACATAAATTTTGTATAGATTCAAATAAATAAAGATGTAAAACATTTAAACACAGCTCCGTTTTTATCACAGTGGTCTAAAATTTGTGTATATAACACTTTAATTCTACCACATTTAACTTTTGGTGCTTCGGTTCTATACTTTATTAATAAAAATGAATTAAATAGACTACAAAAATTACAAAATAGGGCTATGCGTATCATCTTGCTAGCTGCAAGAGATACTCCAATTACGAACATGTTAGCTAAGCTAAATTGGCTAGTTCACTCATATTTAGAATATCAAACCATGATTTTAATTTATAAGATAAATAATAAGATAACACCAGCATATTTAAATGACAAGTCGTAAATAATACCATTCATAATTATAATACCAGGAAAAATATAAATCTATATGTTACTACAAAAAATAAAACAAATACTGAAAAATCTGTCTATCACAAGGGCATTATCTCCTTTAATAGCTTACCGGAAGAAATTAAAAACATAAATAAATTAAATATATTCAAATTGAGGTTAAAAGAACATCTACTGGGTGAATGCCCACATTAATAGTTTGGATCTCCAAATATTTAATTGAGTAAATTATGTGTTATTGACTCTATGTAGGTATTTGTATAATAATTATAACTGTCTGTTTTTATATGTTAATATATTTTGTGATATATTGTTGCTATTGTGTAGTTATTGACATGCTTTATTTTGCATTGGCTGGATATTTTATTGTATGTGTATATTTATATTTGTGGCGAGATATATCTTATATTAGTATAATTGAATATGTATGCAGATATTGTGTTTAACAATGTAACAATGTATAACTTGTTAAATTAGCTTGGCTAAATAAAGAGATAATAATAACAGTACGACTCTACACACACACACCGACAGACAGCATTTGGAAAATAGTCAGAATGGATTCAGAAGGGTTCAACACGTATATATCAATCAAAATCTCGAGGTTGAAAAAAAATCACGATTAAAAACGCCACTATACATTCATGCTCTAGCCAGAATTCGAACCCGGCACCCTTTGGTCTCAAGCCTAACGTATAAGCACTGAGCCACTGGAGCCGACAAAAATGTCTAATCTTATTCTTATTATTATCAGTATTTAACTATGTATTTGAAAATTTTCTTTACTGTTTTACACTTGCCTCTCCTGACGAGCCGCCATTGCCGTGTCTAGGTTTTGTTGGGTTTAAAATTTTTGAGTTAAAACTATCATTATCTTTTCCTTTTAATTTATTTTTTTTTTTTTTAATAATTACTTTTCAATATCGATATCGTGCTTGTATGTACTTCATGGATATGTTATTTGACAAAATTTATTATTCAGACCTTTAGTACTTTACTCGAACAATAGAAATTTTCATACAAATGCATTGAATTGGTGCTAGTTACATACCAGTGTAACTTTTAATAAACAATCCATTTTATGGGTATTTTGTTTTAAACATTGTTCGTGATTGGTACCGATCACTGATAGATTATTGAAAATCCAGTTGCCTTTTTTTACGTGATTAACAAAGTGAATCGATATAATATTATAATTCTGCGAATTTGAAAGTTAAACTAGATTATATATTTTACATTTTTTCGATAAAATCATTTATCCCCATCATTACTGTGCAGAAAATTGAAATTAACTAAAAAATGGAAGTTGTTAATGAAAAATTTGATGGAATAGATAGATTTAATGAAATAAAAATAATTTGTTTGGAATGGAAATCCGCAAGGTATCTGTTTAGAAGAATTTTGTAAAACGCCGTTTTACACGATGCAATAAATTTTACAATAAATTGTGAGATTTATTGTCGCAACAAATTGCGAACCTGGCAGTTTGACCTTGGGGTTTTTAGACGATGCAATTTATTGCACAATTTTTCATACTGTCAACTGATAATTCCATTTTCTATTTCTACTAAACAAAACAGAAGACAGAAGTGTATAAACGTAACTATAAATGGAACACCAGGCGGGAACAGGAGTGAACAAAAATAAATTAAAAACCAATATATTAATCGTTTTGTCCTGTCACTTGCTTTTGTAATTTTGTCTTAAAGCCTCACTGTTGGTACCACTGAAATTGCATAAAAATTACCAGAAAAATAGAACCTTCTCTAATTTCGCAATTTATTGCACAATTTCTTGCCAACTTAAAATTGCAACAATTGCGGATATTACACGATGCAATAAAATATTGCGCAATTTATTGTGAAATTTATTGCATCGTGTAAAACGGCGTTAACCCAATTGGTTCGTGGATGCAACTGTCCTAGTTATCAATATCAATTCACGGCCAAACAATAATAATGAAAAGAAAAGTTTAAAATAGACTAATTTTGCCTCGGTGAACGTTGTCTCGTCGTTTTTATTTTGTATGTCTTAATTAGTTGGTATATTATCAAAAATTGGTATTATTTCTCTTTTTTTGTAATTATTAGTGTACAGGGTGATTTTGTGAGAATTCCCACCACCTTAATTTTCTTATTTATATCTATTTAATACTAGAGAGCGAGGAGGAATGATTAATAACTCCAGGGTTGATCCTAGGTGATCGCGTAAATATTTTCATGCATATATGACACAATATTTTACCTTGTGGTTATTTTGGTAACATTTGGTTTGGTAACATTTAAAGTTAATACGAAGAGGTCTGAAAGTATTGGTGAATGTAACACTAACCCACGGTTCATAAACAATACGGTTGTCGCATTTAATAAAATTATGGTGGGGGGAAACATCAATGACGCCACAAAGAGCATTTTCGCTTTTCGTTCGAAGTGTTCATTTTTGCATTTGTGTTATTTTAAGTTTTTAACCTTGTTTAATTCGTAAAGTATACAGAAATCGAAAAAAAAAAACAATATTAAAAATTTAAAATAATACAAATACGAAAATAAACACTCCGAACGGAAAGCGAAAAAGACTTTTGTGACGTCATTGACCATAATTTTATTAAATGCGACAACCGTTTTGTTTATGAACCGTGACACTAACCCACACATGTATTTTTCGATAGCTATCACAAGAGTAAAAGTATATTACTAATATGATATTACAACTTAGTGGGTGGTGGGTCAAAAACGGAAAAACTACTTTTTAAATTAGTCGACGTTGCGCTAACATTTATCAGCATCCTCAGGACTCTAAAAGAGACGAAAAAAATATAATAATGTTGGACAAACATAAAGAATACTAGACACATTATGTAATATACAGACAAATTAAAATCATGATAAAAATGTATTTTAAATTTATTTATTTATTTTATATACTATATAAAAAAACCTTTTTGGAAAGTAAAATTGTTTTAACTGTTAAAGTTACTATAAATTATGTATTAATATGCACTTAATAATTATCGTATGAATCTTTAAATAAAATAAAATTTACAGTTAAATTGCGTTTTTCTTGTTCATATTCAGTAATAAATTATACAAACGAGAACTGGTACAAAACATAGGTTTAATTAAATACAACAGAACACAAACGGTCTTTACTTTCTCAACAATACACAATTGATAGTGGATTATCTATTTTTGTTGTTTTTTGTTTTTATCTTCTAATACGTGTGCGTTTTTTTGTTATGTTAAATATGTAAAAAAAAGTAATAATTTACATTGAGTAGGTATAGTAGACCACAACTTTAAGAGACATAAAAAAATCTCAAAGCTTTGCCGCGATGCTCCTTAGGATAGAGCGGGACATGCTTTATTCTTCTACAGCATATTAAATAATAAATATAATGTATTACTTAATACATAAAACATCATTATTCTCATGCAAATTATGTTCTGACATGATTAAAATAAAATAAACGGAAACACGCCTTTATCAATTATAATTTCAAATTATTTTAATATAATTACGCAATTCCCTCCTGATCTAACGGTTAATAAAAGGCCATAAAAACCGACCATAAAAGTGTCAAAGCCGGCATAATTACATGCGACTCAGTACCGTACTTAAAATTTTTGTGCGTTGAAACACACAATGTTAGAAATTTAAAAGTACTGTATCTTTGATAAATAAATAGTTATTTGATACCATGATAAGTTTAAAAAAATTACTCTGTTTTGCTTGTGTCAAGATAGGAATAATATTTTATATATTGGTGGAGCATTGATGAATTTTGAGGTTAAGGTTATCGATATTATTAAAATAGGTAAAAGAAATAAAGCAAATCTTTAAATTCTATAATAAAAATAATGTTATATTGCACTTGCGCGTATGTAAAACACTGATAAAACGATAAATTCACAATGTACACTAAATCACTGTATCATGGGTATCACACCAAGGTTCGTCTAAATAATATATTGGTCGTTGTTCATTTCGAAATTTTGTAATATTTTCCAAATATTCATTACGCCACTGTACAATTCTGGAGCTTTCCATAATACTTGTCCTTTTATTAATAATTATGAACCTAAATCCTATCTTTAATACAAGATAGATTTATTGGGGTTCAAAATAAAATAAAGAAGGTTTAGTGCCATATCCCCCAAAAACGAAACAAATATGCAGCTACGGACACGTGTTTCGGAGTTATTGCCATATGTGTTTCTTTTTTGGGGGGATATGGCACTAAACCTTCTTTTATCCTATCTTTAATATCCATCGCCGAAGTGTTTCTTCACTAACTGACACTACACCCATTTTTCTCAGTTCCATATGTATTGATAGTACCGTTGGTATCTCATTTTATTTATACTTGCTATAAATTAAATCTCTTAACAACTTCTCCATAGACGAATCTAATGCTCGTGATGTTTCTTTGTCCGATCTAACTTTTCGATTATGTACCTCATCCTTAATTAATCTATAGATAGTTCGTTCTGAAATTTCTGTTAAGTAGACCGTTTTTTCCACGGCTCCTTTTTCACCTTCACTTTCTTTAATATTTCTATAAACAGAAAACTATTTTTTGAGTATGTTCGCATAAACATTCTCTGGAAATTTTCTCTGTAATTTGTGAGCCATTACCATTCCCCATATCTTCGTGAGATTCTCTGCTAGTGCTAGGTTGAGGATCTTCCTAAGGCCTGAACATTATCACAATATTATTTTACCACAGCCACTTATAATTGGAAAACACTCGAATAATTCAACACCCGTCGGAATATTTATAAAAACACAACTACATAGAATACTCTTAAACACAAAGGAAAATTTCACTTACCTGTTAAAGTATTATACATTCTAGGCTCTCACAATCCAAATAAAATGTAAACACTGAAGCACACACTGTATTTATAAAGCATATAACCTATATAACTTCTAAAAGGCGCGAATCGTTCGATGTATCGCGGAAGATGACCGTTCGTCCGTCCCTGCATGCGTTCTCGTTATTAGGCTTTACAGTTGGTTCGGTAGGAACCGTTAAATTGTAAAATATTTTAGGAGGGAGTTGCGTAATTATATCAAAATAATTTGATATTATAATTGATATAGGCGTGTTTCCGTTAATTTCTTATTTTAATCATGCCCGAACATACTTTATATGAGAATAATGATATTTTATGTATTAAGTAATACATTATATTTATTATTTAATATGCTGTAGAAAAATAAAGCATGCCCCGCTTTATCCTAAGGAGCATCGCGGCAAAGCTTTGAGATTTTTTATGTGTCTCTTAAAGTTGTGGTCTACTATACCTACTACATTATGTATTATGATATTATGGTAGGCTAAATTTAAGTTTTCAGTATCTATTCTTTTATTAACTGAATTTTTCTTTTTAATGGCGAGCATTTCATTAAAAATTCGTTTTTTTTATTGTTTTGTTGGCCAATTATTTCTACATTTTCAAAAGTTAAAGTATGCTCCTCTGGTATGAGTAACTAATGCTGTTTCATTTTTTTGTAAATTATTTGGAGTTACGTCATTTTTATGTTTATATATTCTCTTCATTAAATATATTTTGGTCCGACCTATATATACCTTGTAACAATTGTTACATGGAAAACTATAAATATCATTAGACATATTAGACACATGCCAGTTGTTTTTTATTCTGTTCTGAATTAAAATGATTTTTCTTTATTTTTAAAAACATTTTCAAATT